GACAAAATTTTATTCATATTAGAAAAAGGATCTCTATTTAAAAAGTATTCACCTAAGGTTTCTACAAGTTTCAAACTTACCTCATATAATTAAAACATGACTTCAGGTTTTAAACTTGGTTCACATACTACTTTCAAGAGCCTTCTTATCCACATACAGACTCTACAACTTGTCTCTACCATGTTTCCTTTTGAATAGCTAAATCCAATTAGGAAAAAGCAACCCTTTCCATTCAGAAAACAGTACTCTTATTTAAATTAGAAGGTATTTGAACTTGGTACAATCTAAATTTCCTCAACTTTCCCACTCTATTAAAATTCTGTTCATGAACATTTTAAAAACTCACATTTGCAACTGTTCCATACAGTTCAAAAAAACTCCAAATGTATGGAAACAGTATTTGCCAATTCAAATTTATACTGTTCTACCAAACTCTGATACTTGGAGACATCTCCACATTTTTTAATCTTTCATTTTCCTTTTCTTTAGATCTAGAACAGAACTAAATAAAAATGTACCCAAAAAAGTCAGACGAGCATAACTCATCTGAATGTTTTAAACTGACTCCATGTCTCATTTCTTTCGGGAGTAACGCCAGAGCATACTACTTGACTTGTTCCATAATTAAGTCACTTGCCATAGAGTAACTATTTTCATTTCAATCAAAAGACAAAGCTAAACCAGTAGTCAAATCAGTACAATTTAAACACTCTTCAAAATTATTACGTACTTTAATATTTGCAAGGGTGTTTTGTAAAGTATAAAACTATGCAGAAACTAAGATCTTATCATCACCTCAAAAACATGGAGTATAAGCCCTAGCTGGTTTGGCTCAGTGTATGAGAGCACTGGACTGCAGAATGGAAGGTCCCGGGTTCGATCCCCAGGAGGGGGTGTGCAGGAGGCAGCTGATCAATGATCCTCTCTCATCATTGATGTTTCTATCTCTCGCACCCTCTCCCTTCCTCTCTGAAATCAGTAAAAATATATTTAAAACAAAAAACACATGCAGTATAGTTTGTTGCAATGAAATACTTTTCCCTTTGCATTTCAGGCCATTCTCATGTCAAAACAAAGCTACACTGAAAAACATCCCCAAAGAATTATTTTTCAACTCTCCCTCTGCCCGTGCTTTATAGTTCTGTATTATTTTGTAGAATTTGAAGCAAATTTAAACACATTATTTTATCTGATCCCTAAAATAATCCTGAGTAAATGCCAGTAATACTGCTTCATTTTACTGATAGGTCAACCAAGTTCAAGGGCTTACCCATATTTACAGGATCAGAAATATGACAGTTTGAATTTGAACCTGCCTCTTTTGTCCTTAGAATCCACTTAAAATGTCTCCAATATAACTCCAACTCAGAACTTCCCTTTCTCCAAATATAATTCCGTAACAACAACCTGTGTCCATGTTCATTCTTGTGATGCTGTATTAATGAGATTATGAAACTGTCAAAGTTTGGATGTTCAGAGGTAGTGACGGAGGTAAGGTAGAAAATGCTGATGGTATTAGCTGTAAACATTAGCATATTATAAGTCTTTTAAAGTCTTTCAAAGGATTATTAAGAAAGAAATGAAATGTTTTAAGTAAAACTACAAAATTTTTAAAAATTAAAGCAACCCACACTTCTAAGTAGGAGTCAGGGTTAGTGAGTGCCGAAGCAATCCAAGTTGGAAAACCACACGCTGGCCCTGGAGAAGACTGGCTTCTCACAGGGCTTCCTCGGGACCTGCATTCATTAGTATCAGTAACTAGTCAGACCACCAATGAGTTCTCTCAGGTAACTCTAAGGTTACTTTGAAAACAACAAGTAATAAATCATTACTTAAACATGTAGAGTGTATTTTTCAAGGCTGAAGTATCTTTATGAACTTTAAAAAATGTGGAATATGGTTTACTCAAGCAGTAACTATGCACTTTTCCTACAAAAACTACATTGAGTCTTTCTATTAAACCAAAATGGGAACTTAACCTCCAGTTTATTTGTCCATTAAATTGAGAGGGTATCCTTTTATTTATAGGGCACACAGTAAAATTGTTTTCCTTTTTTATACAGGAAAAGCTTTTACACATAGGACAAATTCACATTTTGGGTGCTCAACTATCACAACTTTCCCTCTGCATTTCTCTTTAAAAGGTAATGTGTCAACATGTGATGTTACTTCCTTAACAATACTCAGTAATACTTATCATAAATGTCTCAAGTGCAAAGTCAGTAGTATTTTCATTCCTGCTCCTCCCTCCCTGTCCAATGACTATAAGAGACTTTCCGATTGAATGAATGACAGTGGAAAACTAAGCATTCAATATGGATGCAACAGGAGAGAATATGAAAGAAAGTGGGTAAGGAGGGGTGGGAGAGAGAAGGGAATTATTTCAGTATATTTTCAGGGATTAACTATTTTGCCTTCACAAGAATATCAAAGTTTTTCAACACTCAACCCTTCCACTCTTTTACCTGATATTAAAGCAAAAATTTGTAAAATTTACATGAAATACAGAATGGGACAATATGAATAAAGTTTATCTCATTTGGAAATAAAATCAGTTCAGGTCTCACTGAACTTCTTTTGTGCCTCATAGAAAACTCAGTAAATCTTAGCAATTAATTACTGTCCTATGATAAAGCACTGTAATACTATATCATAGGGCCACCCAAGCCTAACAAGTTCTTGAGACTACTGATTAATAAACAAAGTCACAATAGGAAAATTATTTTTTCAATTACCTAGAATATGCATATACAATACTCTTAATCATTTTTAAATTAAGCATCAACTGTAGCAGTATGCTAAAATGTTCATATAAATAAGCTCATAAAAATCAAGCTGATGACAAGTTTTAATAATTATCACATGTAATTGTTTTGGCTAAAGTTTACTTACTTTAAAGAGGCCATTATTATTTGGGTCATTAAAATTAAATCTAAACTTAATTAATGAGTACATATGCATGTTACCACCCTACGTAAGCACTTAGAAATTTCATGGTGAGATGCATAAGACAATGAAAATATTTAAGCTATGATTTTCATTTGTTCTCTGAAATTCCAAATACTCTAAAAGTACACTCAGGCTTGACTTTTAAAGTGATTCTTTTTTATAACCTTTTTACTTTAACTATTGAATTATCAATTTAACAACTGTTAAATAAAAAAAAAAAAATTTTGACCACTTAAAGTGAATTTCTTACTAATATCAAAGTTAATTATGCTAATATCCCTGAAAGTCACTAAGAAAACTAATAAGCTGTGTTTCATCAAAACTGTTAGTTCAGCCAGAACCGGTTTAGCTCAGTGGATAAAGCTTCGGCCTGCGGACTCAAGGGTCCCGGGTTCGGTTCCGGTCAAGGGCATGTGCCTTGGTTGCGGGCGCATCCCCAGTGGGGGGCGTGCAGGAGGCAGCTGATCCATGTTTCTCTCTCATGGATGTTTCTGGCTCTCTGTCCCTCTCCCTTCCTCTCTGTAAGAAATCAATAAAATATATTTAAAAAAAAAACAAAAAAAAAAACTGTTAGTTCAATTACAAATTGGTCAGTTTGGAAGCCTAAGAAAATATATTACTATGAATTAACTAGTAATTTAAAAAGTCAGTAACTTAAAAAAAGAATTTAACACCAGAGAAGTAAGAAGTAACATTTCTCATACTCTTGTATCAGATTCAGAAGTGTGCCTTCCTAGTGAAAAGCTTCTTTTGCTCACGACAGCCCATGGCTAACTAAGCAGGCATGCTTGGCTGCAGGTCTGACGCAGTGGTTCTCAACAGGAGCGTGTGTGGAGATGATTTTATGACCAGGCGGGATGCTAGTGCCTGCTTCCCAGGTGCTGCCCAAAGCCCCTACTGAGAACTCCTGCGTACACCCGCCGCCTCAGGAGAGTAACAATTGTGTCCCCTACAAAGGAGTAACCACGGAGGTGTAGCTGGAAGGCATGGGGCCATACAGCTGTGCCTTCCCACCTCAAACTGCAGTTTCAAACGGTCCCGAAGCAGAGGCCATGGCAGCGTTCGTTAGGCTGGGGGTCAGGGACACGTGGAGAGTTCTAGCGCCAGATGCTAAGAGACGGAAGTCTCAGGCTGGTCTAGAGTCAAATATCACAACACAAAATTTTCTCCACCTGCCATGGCCAACGCAGGAAGCTGACTGAATACCAATCAATCAAAAGCACATCTACGATGCCCACTGTGTTCTGAAGGGAGTTGTAGTGAGAGAAAATGTCAACAAGTCTGGTAGACAGACCTGGACCTGCTAAATGGCTAGCTAGATCCTCATCAGAACCACAGGATTCCAGAGGGGCAGAGGCAGCACCACCCCAGGAGAGGAACCCCTCCAATGCCCCTCCCAGGGTAGGGGCTGAGAATGGCGCCGAGAGACACCGCCCCAGAGAGCAGTAGAGGCCAGCTAAGTGGAATAAGGAGAGAGGACCCTCGTTACTCCTGCTGTGGTCCCTTCTCTCCTTTCCAGGTGGCGGTTTTATCTCATGTAACTCATTTTCCCCATGCCATGATGAGGGGTATGTTGAGGTGTTTGAATTCACCACTTCTCACAGATGGCCAGAGGAAGGGGGAAGAAAGGTGGTTTGGCTTTTAGGTGGGCTAGTGAACAATGACTATGCTAACCATCAACAAATACTGGCATTTGAAAGTGTTATCCCAAACCTGGGAAGCTGGTTATCTGGATTAATCCCCTCCTCCCACCACAATACAGCTCCAGTTAACTACACAGGGATACTGACACTCTCTTTATATCTCATGTCCTCCATCCTCATCTGCAGTTCCCAAACACCTAAAATGCTCTGACTAAAATGATCTGACTAGCAACAATGTTTAGATGCTAAACCTGCAAAGTCTGAAGAGCAGGCAAACTAAAAACCAGTGTGTACACATATTCAAAATATGACTACATTAGTGTTCCTGCCACGGTCAGAACAGCGATGAACCCACATATGCAAGACTACAGACATGTGCTTCAGGTGAAGAGCTCCGATTTTCCATACCATTTTTGTAAGTAGTCCAGTGCCTCCAACCGAGCCCCAATCTCAAAAGTGATTCCAGGACGATTTGGGGGCTTTTTACTCATCTTGAGATACTATTCTTCAGTATTCGCTTCTCACTACCTCAAGAAAGGAAAAAAAGTTAGATTCTGATGCATAAAATGCATAAGGAATTAAACAAAAATTTAAAAACATTACAGTAACTGCCAAATTTTTAAGAAATTTGAATGATGATTATCAATATCTCTAGGTAGAGTACTGTGCAACTTACAGGCAATCTTAAAAACGGATTAAGAAAAAAGACATTACACCTAAAACCTATTTGTTCATGTTGACCAATGTCACCGCAATCAATTTAATACATACTAAAAATAAAAATTTTAAAAAGGACATTAACAAGATAACTACTTAAAAAGAACAGATGGGCATTAAAACTAACTAATGGCTACCATGCTTTAAATTGTAGCTTGGAAAATATCCAGGAAAACTCTCCAGAGTAATGACTGAAAATGTTTTCCTGGCTTTGAAAAATCAAGACAGTTGAGTGTCCTGGAATATGACTAATGAGATTCTTGGGCACAAGTTAACCACATTTTCCAGCAAGTGTTTACTGAGTGCCTTGTAACACGAACGGCTTTTGATAAGACCCTGGGGGACACACAAAGATGGAAGCAGCAGTGAACACGCTCCTCCGCCGTGAAGACTGGCCATTCCCCCTGTGATTAGGGCATCTCATTCCCTATGACCCTCCACCTTGGTAGCCAATGATTCAATAATTAACTTAACATATAAAGTTGCAAAGGAAATTTTTTCCTTATACTTCGCTGAATTCAATGAGCCACAATGATAGGGAATTTTTTCTAACTCTGAGAATTCATTTCTACAATATTTCAATATAGGCAGGGCCTCTGTCAACTTCAATATTGACAATAAGTGGTTGTAACGTTCAAACAAACACTACAAAGGAATACCTATCTCTCTATCCTCTCTAGACCGCTGGCAGGTGGACTAGTCTCCTCTGGCCCCGACGGCCACCGGCACCCGGAGGCAGCCTCTTTTCCACTAAGGATCTGGTGCCTGAGTGATGTAAGCGCATTTTAAGGCAGCCTTCCCAAGCGATAGCAGGTAATCAGGAATGCAAAGGGATCCCTAAAGGCTTTCTGGATATTCAGAATGGCTAATATGACAGTGCTCCCTCCCAGTTTAAAAAGGAAAACACACAAATATGTAATCATTTTAATAGTTTGGTCACAATTCAAAAGGGACCATCCCTAACAATAAACACAGGCTCACAGAGACAGAGAACAGACTGACAGCTGTCAAAGGGAAGGGGTTGGTGGGCTGGGTGAAAATGGTGAAGGGAGTACGCAAAAAAAAAAGAAAAAAAAATTCCAACAAACAAACTTAAAAACAGACAACAGTATTGTGATTACCAGAGAGAAAGGGGGGTGAGGGGAGGTAGAAGAGGGTTCAGGGGGGACAAATGGTGGTAGAAGACTGGACTTGGGGTGGTGATGCATAATAGAATTGTACACCTGAAACCTATACAATTTTATTAGCCAAATGTCACCCCAATAAATTCAATAGAAATTAAATTTTTAAAAATAAAAAAATGAATAAAACCATCTGTCCTTTACTTTTTGAAAAAAAATCTGATAGATAGGGGGGAAAACCAACACCAATACTTGCCATTTAAATAGATAAAATCAAACTTAAATACTCATGACTGGGGAGGGTAGTAATAGCCTCCTGCCATGACAGCAGCAAAGATTGGTGCATTCATGTTCACAGGAAACGCGGCCAGGAGTTTATTTGGTGTAAAGGGAACAAAAATAAGACTATCTTAATAGAGGTCTCGTCAGTTTGCAACCTATCAGGCAGCTCCCCAAATGCCGGTGCAAAAATCGAATCAGCCTTTCCTGCTGTTGGGCACAGGCAGAGCTGGCTTGGGGGCTCACTGACATCCTCTAGGCTCCAGCTCAAAACCCCCGAGAAGTAACCGAGTCGAGACGTGTAATTCCCCGGGATACTTCCGCGCGAGTGACCGGAAAGGCCAGATGGCCTTCTCCTCGGGTGGACCGGGGAGGATGAGGAGGGGTTTGAATGAAGGAAAAAGTCGGACAAAGTCAAACGGGTCTATGGGGCGGGAGGACTTGGAGCAAAGAGAGAAAGCGGGGCAGGGAGAACGGGGAGGAGGGGAAAGAGGAAGAAAGGAGTGGCAAAAAGTGAGAGCGGTTTAGCTGCGGGAGACGACCACTGGGCGGGGAGGGATAATGAGCAAGAGGCAACACCTGCAGAGTGCGGCGAGGGTCAGGGAATGGCCGCGGGGCCCCGAAAAAGAAAAAAAATAAAGAAAAAAGGTGGGGAGCGATGCGGGGCGGGAGGAGGGTGGCAGGAGACGGACAGGAAAGGCTCCGACGGCGCAGGCGAGACGGAGCCGCCTCCAGGTTTGACAGCCGCCCGGCCCTCGGCGGGGGGGAGGAAGGAGGGGGTGAGGGAGCGGCGGCGCCCAGACAATAGGGGCGGCGAGTGACGGGGAGGACGCGGGAGGGAGCGGGCCGGAGGGACACCCGCGTGGGGAGTCCCGGGCGGCCAGGCGGGGCCCCTCCTGCCCAGCTGCCGCCGCCGCCGCCTCTTACCGACTCGGCCTCCTGTCCGCACAGCAGCCGGGCCGTCCGGGGCCGAGCCGGGCACGAGCAGGGCGGCCAGCCCGGGCCTCCGCCACCGCCTCCGCCTCCGCCCAGGCGGCGCCGGGGAGCGAGCAGGAGCGAAGCGAACTGGAGCCTCGGGGACGGGTCGCGCCGAGGTCGCGCGGGAGGAAGCCGGTCTGAGCCCTCACGCCCGCTCGCTGTCCGCTGCCATCGCCGCCACCGCTGCCGCCGCCGCCGCCGGCCAGCCCAGACGCGACGCCGGTCCCGGCGACGTCAGCCGCCCGCGACGCCCCGGAAGGGGCCTGGACGCGTCACGTGGCTCGCGAGGGTTGGGCCCGGGCCGCGCCGCCGATTGGAGGGCCGCCTTGGGGGGGCGGGGCTTCGCGGCAGTTGGCTGGCGGCGGGTGGGCGGGGCCCTGGTGAGCGGAGGGAGGAACGCGAGCTGGGGGAGCCCATTGGCAGTTGGCAAGGGTTTGACCTTTGAGCGATCAGCAGGGAGCCTGTTGAATGTTATTAGTATCGATTTGATGGGAGCCAGGTCCCCACAACTCCTGGTGCCCGCACCCTGCGCAAACTCCTGAAATGCATTGCACGCTTTCTGAGATACCCACCCCGTTCACATTAAAATAGAGCAGATGGTTACTGTTATAAAGTCAGTAAGCCTCTGTTAAATGAATCTTGCAGCAGGCGCTGTGCTGTTAGTACATCACATGACAACCCCAATCACAATTGTTTGCTCCCCATAGTCCAGAGATCCTTGCAATACAAGAGGCAGATATTACTAAGACGTGTGTGTATGTGTGTGTGTATGTGTGTGTGTGTGTGATTTCCCCACGACGACACAGCTAATGATGGCAGAACTACTTCGATTGAATATCCACCATGTCCCAAACTGGTCACTAGGCACAAGAAAAAGTGTTTCCACCGTAGGGGAAACCAACAAATGAATACACTCAAAGCAATATTGGAATGAAGCGTCTTTTTTCTCTCTCTTTCCAGTGTGCCACTCCAACTCTCAAGCTTTCTAAATGCAACGTTGCATACAGATAACACTTGTATTTATCATGCTTTGCAGTGTGGAATTAAAATAGCAAAGAAGCTCTCTTTAAGCTTCAATTATGGTGGATTTTGGAAAGTTAAACAACCGTATTCATATCCTTTTATTCAATAGACATTCATTCATCACTATGCTGCTAATAGGTCCTGAGCTAGACTGAGCATGGCAGTATGTAGAAAAGATATAAATAAGAGAATGTCTGGTGGACATTTCTCCTCTTGTATGGTTGCCCAGCATCTGCACTCCCTTTCCATGTTTGGGAAATTTCACATCATACTTGTCATCAGTGTAATACACCATGTATTTCCAGAATCTTCTGGACACATAACAGGATTTTATGTTCCATCCTCCTTAGAATTATGTATAATCATTTGATTTGCTTTGGCTAATAAAATAAATTGTCATGTCCAGCTGGTAATGTAAAGGCCAGTTCACCAAGTTATCTGTCTCTGATATAGTGAAAAGCAAATTTTGAGATGGTGTCTGCTCCAGCAGCCCAGGTTCTAGACAGATTATGATGAGCCCAGAACCAACTGCTTACCTCAACTGATATAGTATAAGGAAAAATAAATAAATATGTGTTGTTTTAAGCTATTGATATTTGGGTGGGTGGTTGTTGCGCAACATAAGCTATCTTAACTGACAGATACACCCACCTTGGAGTCTTGAAGGCAGAGTCAGCTTTGCAGTGAATAAGATGACAATGTTAGAAACTCACATTTCTAGTCTCCATTGCAGAGAAAGGGCTGTTTTCAGTGATACTAATTAGACTGTCTTGCTGAGGAGTGTGTATCAGGAGCTGCTAGTGATGCTCAATGTAAGGAAAGTTTTCTCCAGCAGCTTGGCCGTACCAGTGGCCGATATGTGCCTTTCAACCTCGAGTTAACTAACTGAACCCTGGCGGAATTTCTGCTGACCCACCGGCCAGTAAGTGAGGGAAGAAAAAAAAATCTGTTGCTATACATCACTGCAAAGCTAAGGCTGTTTGTAATTGAAGTAAAATACATACATAAAGGATAACATAGACCCCTCCACGCCCCACTGCTTTTTGAGAATCCATCAATCTACCCTGAAGAGATGATTCCTCCATTTTAACTGGAACTTAACCAGGGACCCCTCAAATAATTCAACTTGAAAAAAGAACAGGAAATCATCGAGTAAATGATTTCTGGCTGAGTGTATTGTATAGCGAGTATTCCCAATGGAATTAGAGGCCACTTTGAGAGCGGGGGTCCATGTGTATGTTTAGTTGTCATGTGACTAGGAAGGGTGCTATAGCAAGTTAGTGATGAGGGACCAGGGCTGCTAGCCATGCTGAAATGCACAATACAGTCCCATATCTTTAAGAACTAACCCCAGGTCATACATGACTTTTGAATGTCCCTCCAGACATTCGTGTGGGTAAAAAAAAAAAAACTGTTTATAATCATCTGAGCCTAGAACTCGGTTTTACACATAAGCACCCAGTATTTTTGCAAGATTTTAATATACACTCAATTTCCCAGGGATGGAGCTACTGTGAAATATGAGAGGAGACTGTCCTTTTTATAAACATTACCAGGAGTTTATCGCGTTTTTAAAAACCGTGTCACCAATGGCAAAGCTCCTCAGAGTCTTTGAGGCACTATTAGAAGTCGCCTGTATCACTGCATTTGTAACTTTAACATTCAGGCTAAACCTAAATTTAGGTCCAAGCGCCTGACCACTGTATTATGTCCCTTGTGAGTCATGACCAAACACTTATGTATTAAAATATATACTATTTTTTATTATGAATTATTTCTATAAAGTGTGTTCATATTTTATCATTATGTCATTTATGAATTTTAAAAGACAGACATGTATAGCTTATTTAGACCATCTATGAATTTAATTTCAGAAAAGTGTAGAGGGTATTTCAGAAAAATGGGGACATTAAGTCTGATAAAACCGATTAACTCATGTAGGCTACCATGGCCTCTTTTGACCATACAGAATCAAAGTTCAGGTTCAAGCCCAGGTTACAAGATATAGGAAAGTCTAGCAATGACCCCCTGAACCATGCAGTGAAGCTATGTATTGCTATGTCCCCTCTTCTCTCTCCCACCCACGCACGCCTCATCCAGATGGCTAATGTTAGCCATCAGTCACTCACTCCGTCTCCGAATATAGAAAGAAAGAACATACAGCTGTGTTTGAGCAGAACCAAACGAGCACTTACGGCAAATTATCTTGAAACAACGGTTCTTAGGCAGAAAGCACTGAACTAAATTCCAACATTAAAATATGGATATGGAACCATAGTATCTCCTGGAATATTTAACAACTGTATATACTTATTTTAAGGGGGAGTTCACTCCTAGATACCAGGTATCCCCTGATTACATAGAAAACACAACAAAGCTCTTGATATGTGTGCCGCTTTAATATTTATAATTAGCATCAGTGAAGTAAATCAAAGCAACTCTAAGTTTGAGGTTTGTTTGTTTGTTTGTTTGTTTTTAAATAAACTAGGTTAGTAAAAACCTAACCTCTTATAACAGACACCTTTGGCTCATTGCTCAATTGCAGGTGCTTAGCAGTCTTTAAAAGTGCACTAGCATCACTTCC